CTATGATCAATCGAGTTACAAAATAAGTCAAAAATTTCCCCATTGTGTTGAGTAAAACGTGGTATCAAATAACGTGGAAAAAGTCTATAATCACCTTATTGGTTCATTATATAATACGGTTAGTCACGTGATAAAATATCTTCATTCTTTTATTGGTTACCTAAGTGATATAAAATACGTAAAAACAAAAAAAGTTTTCGCTTCATATTGTTTACCTGTGTGACGTAGTTTATCACGAGAGAGAGAGAGAGAGAGAGAGAGAGAGAGAGAGAGGCACGCCTTGTTGTATCCTCCAATGACTACCAAATCAACCCAACAACCCTTGAGCACCACCATCTGAAGGGGAACTATGAGAGACTCCACCAGGCGTCCTCCTGTATCGCTGATGGTCGCCTCGTCCATAATATCCGCCATTAATCAATCTTAAAGAGGCGTTCCTTAGCCTTACGGGGACGAGGAGGAATGAAAGGAGAATGAGGAGCAGGAGTCGGGGAAGGAAAAGGGAACGGGAAGGTGGGGAATGACCGATAAGAAGGAATGACCGACTGAGATATGTTATGGCAATTACAAGATCTTTTAAAGTGAATTAATTCTTATTTTGTTTATATTTGCGTTTATTGATATTTTTGTTATTTCATCTATTCCGTTTAGTTTATTCCTCGCTTTTATTGGTATTTTACTTTACCCCATTTCCTTTATTCCATCCCACTTGATCCTATCTACTAGTAAGTCCATCCACCTAGTCGGGACACCGTGTGATCCTATATCCACACACACATCATCTAGCATCCACGTAGACTCATAACAAACCCAACTACGATCAGTACATCCCAACCTGAGCTCATCGAGGTACATCCGCTAGAGTTCCCGCCCATTTTCATCCCGTCTCAATAGAATATCCTCCTGAATCCCGCCTCCATCACCTACCTCGAGTACTATGCTTTCGTATACTCGTGCGTTCACCACTCAAGTACACCAGAAACGCATCAACAGCACATGGGGACTTTAGAACGACGTCTGACTGTCTTAACTCCACAATTTTGCATCCAAACACCACACTCACCTATGCGTACCAGAACGCACTCATAACTCACCATCCATGCGCACAAAAGAGTCCATAAAATCTATCCTGTGATTCGAGAAGTTATGCCTATCTACACCTACTCACCTACGCGCACCAAGATGCATCAATAATGAGGTTCTTCCCTAAATAAAACGCAACAAGAACTCGTGGGAAAGAACTCATGGACGCATCCCTCGGTTCGAAAAGGTCTCAATCTGTCTAAAACCTCTAAGGGGACAGAGCGAGCAAGACGAATGGTCGGGGAGGGGGAGAGAGGGGAGGGGGAGAAAGGGGAGCAGGAAAGGGAGAGAAGGAGAATAGGAGGGATGTAGAGAGTGTAGAGCGGGGGAGGGGGGAGAAGGAGCTGCCCAAACTGATATATTTGCTGAATAATTGATACTCAAGCCCAGGTTCGACGGAATTGAGAGAGGGGGGGTAGAGAGAGAGAAGGAGAGAGAGGGGGGTAGGAGAGAGAGAGAGAGAGGGGGTAGGAGAGAGAGAGAGGGGGAGAGAGAGAGAGGGTAAGGGAACGAGAAAAGGAATAGGAAAGGGTGAGGAGGGTAGGAAGGATAAGGAGGAGGAAGGGGGTTGGGAGAAGAAGAGGGAAGTTTGTTTGGAAAATGGGAGGGAGGGAAGGAGAGGGAGAGCAGATAATGAGATGGATGGTATGGGAGGGGAAGGAGAGGGTACAAAAACAACAAAACAACAGCACATATAGACGTAAAACACACACAGAAATATCCCCCCCCCCCCAAACAGATTCTTATAGCTACAGAGATAATATTTACGACACCCTGATACTACCTGTGCATAGATCCATTTTATTAATTGTTGATGACGTGCCTTGAAGACCTTGGTTGTTGAAGTGGTGGCGATATAGACATTATAGCATGGCGAGCTGTCCCTTGAGCACACCACCTGCCGCAGCTGGTATCATGCACCACACAAGGTATAGAAAGTGAAGCATCAAAACTAACTTGGGATCTGGGGTGTACTTTATGAAGCTTATTCTCTCACTAAAGCTATCACCATCACTGGAGCTATCACCATCACAACAACTATCAACATCAACACCACACCTATCACCATAACTATCCGCATCAACACCACAGCCATCACCTCCAGAGATATTAGTTTCACCTTCACCACAGCAATCACCACCAACACCACTGTCATCACTATCACCACAGTTATCACCACCACCACCATCATCACCATAGCTATCACCATCATCACAGATATTACTTTCACCATAACTTCAGCTATCACAATCATCACCACCACCACCACCACTACTACAGAAACACCATCACCACCACAACAGCTATCACTCACCACCACCATAGCTATCACCGTCACCACACTCACCACCATTACCACCACCACAATCATCGTCATCTTCACCACCACCAACACAGTCATCATCACTATCACTACCATCATAACCAACATTCACCAACATACCCATTATCATCACCACCACAGCCACCACCATCACTATCACAACCAACATTACAACCTCAGCCATCACCACAGTTATCACCATTAAAACACCACAACAACAACACAACTTCACTTCAACAGCGCCACATCACCACCACCACAACAACACCACCACCACAGCTTAAATCATATGAAGTAATCCTGACTTTTAATCCATTCTCCCCCACTCTACTGGGAGGGTAAACACTGGCAGTAATCCCCCGACCCACTCATACCTCTCTCCCTTCCCCTTCTCTTTCTCCCTCCCTCTCACCACCTTTTATCGTCCCCCTCAACCCCTCCCATCGTCCTTCTGCTCGCTCTCTCTCCTCTATCCCGATGGTCTTTTTAGTCAATTCCCACATCCTCCCTTCAACCTATTCCTCTCTTCCATCATCTCCCAACACGCTCATCTATTCTCCTGACTGTCTGCTATCTCTTCCCCCTCCTCCTCCTCCTCCCCTTCCACCCACCAGGCAGTTAATCCAGTTTGGTGGAGGAATGAAGGGAGGTAGATGGGGAGGGGTGGAATGGGGTGGAAGGGGGTGGAAGGTGAGGGGTGGGGAGAGATGAAAGATGGTTGGATGGAGGGGGTGGAGATATGTGAAAGGGGGAGTGGTGGAAGGATATTGAAGGGGGTGGAAGGGAGTAGAGGGAAGGTGGGAGGTGAAAAAGGGGGGTGGGGGGGTGGGGTAGAATGGGGGATGCGGGGAGGAGAGAACCAATCAACTCCAGCCTTGTCGACCATTACAAACACAGACACACACTAACATCATCCTCACAGATTCTCATGAAGAAAAAAAAATACTGAGTGAAGCGTTAAAAATATTGGGTACCAGAGTACGCTCGTGTTAATCCCTGAGAAGAAGCGGGGGGCGGGGGGGGGGTAGCCACAGCAGTAAAGAGGGATAGTCGGCACAGGGTAATCGGATCAACTGGAGATTAGGTATACCAGCTTATTTCACCTGATGTTTAAACACCCTAAATCTAACCTAAAATAACCTAACCTTATCTAAAATAACCTAATCTAACCCACGAGGAGAGGTCATGTGTCACCCCCGCTGGAACTTAAACAACACTTGACACACGGAGAGCCACGAGGAACACTTAGTTTTGTCTTCTACGTAAAGTTGCAAGGAGCCACCAATCACCTTAAACCTCCATATCAGATAAGAACACAACAGGTGCACTCCTACACCATCTAGCTAAACCTTCGTAACAATCAATAACAGCTTAAAGAAGTTATAGATACTTGGAGTAAATAATAAGTTAAATAAAAGACAAATTCTAGTTTTAAGAAAGGAGATGTTCACCTCAACCACAATAGTATCTATCAGTAAAAACAAAACAAAAGCAGTCAGCCCCGCCGCGAACACCAATCAATGCAACTTAACTCTCCGTGACGTCATGAAGGTATTTTACAACGTGTCGAACTCTGGCTTGAAATATACAAGCTTACAAGTATAGTTTTACCTGTACCTGCTCTATACTGTTCTACAACTACCTAGACGACACATACATACAGTACACATTCCTACAGTTGATCAACACTTTGGAGAAAACTTTCCACTCAAGAGCGCTGAGTGCTTAAGATGGTCTACAATCACCAACCTTCTGTACCAGTCACACTGTTAGACACAATACAATATAAAGCTATGAGCCTCATCAGTGACCAGTCCATTACTTCCTCCATATCAGACGACTTATTTCTTCAGGTTCAATACTCTGCTACCAATACATAGTCAGTGCGCTCATCCATCTCCCCCCTCTTTACAACACCGACTGCAACACGTTATTCTCATCATGTCATCTTCATTCTCTTTAAGTTCCCTTTAGTTGAACCTCATCACCCTGTAGTCTCTTCATATCTCGACTTTCATGACTATGGATCTCCCTTCCCTATCATATCTTTCCACCAGCGGCCTACTAAACCTCTTATCCACGGTGTACTAGTTTAGTCTAACTTGAATGTGGATCAATTTGACGATGTTAAAACATAACCTGAACTAACCTAACTTACCCCGTCTCTCGCCCTAACAAACTGATAAAGCAAGATACACGAAGGTATTACTAGAGTATATATTGATAGTGATGTAAGCGTAACCAACACTTTGTATTCTACTGTACACGTAGAAGACAAACGTTGCTTAGTAATACACACTCATCCTAAAAGGTGTTTATCTGTTGAAGTCTCTAAACCTGCAACTGTTGACAGTGTGTACAGTACACGTGTTTGTATTTTCTCTGCATTCTTATATATATATATATATATATATATATATATATATATATATATATATATATATATATATATATATATATATATATATATATATATATATATAATCTTCCCCTGTATGTGTACTTGAACCAGTACCTGTACCTACTGTATACCTGTTCTTGAACCGACAATATCTGTTCAACAATGTAAAACAAAATAAAGTGAATCACTTACCAGCAGCTGCCAACCTCCAGGCGTCGCCATACTGCTACAGCTGCAACACACGGAAACAGTGACGAATTAAATACAGCTCGTGTTATAGCGGATGGAAAATTAAGATGAGGGTAATATAACCCTCAGTAATGACAGTGACCAGTGGTTTGTGAGGGAGGAAACTGACACATACAAATGACAGGGAATTTATATGACTATTTGTCCTACCGACCATATGTGGACACTTACCTGCCTCACCCGCTAATGTTGTTTGTGTTATTGTTTCTACTTTGGATGGGCTTTATATAGTTTTTTCCTTTGATAAACTTTTCGTTTTTAACCACCTTTTATTAATGATATTTTAATTCTAGGAGTTATAAAGTATATTACTAATAGCCATTATTTTCTCCTCTCTCAACTCAACCTTATGGGCCTCGCTTTCACTATTTGATATATTCTGTTATTACGAATCAATTAAAAACGTTAGATCACCTGAAAATTAGCCTCCCCCCCCCAAACTTATTTCACCTGATGATTAAACACCTTAATGATACCCGGAATAGAAGGTTAGGTTGGGTTAGTGTTAAGGTTAGGTTAAGATAGATTACTGTAGGTTAGGTTAGTTAAAGTTAGGTTAGGTTACGTTAGCTTAGACCAAGGTAGGTTAGGTTAGATTACGTTTGGCTAGGTTAGATTATGTTGGATAAGATTACGTTAGGCGAGATTTGCTGTTGTTAAGGCTACCATTGGTACGTCTGAATTCGTCCAAATACATATGATTCCAAGGTGCACCGCGATGATTGGTGGGGAGAGAGAGAGAGAGAGAGAGAGAGAGAGAGAGGTGAACCTTGGCAGTGGTGGGCGGGGCGGTGTGTAGCCTTGACGATCAGCGGGGGTCTGAAGCTCTGTAGTACTGTTCCACTGCAACCATTACCACCACCACTACAACCATCAATCACCACAACTACCACCACCACCACTACAACCATCACCACAACTACCATTAACCACCACCACTATCACACCAGCACCACTATCCACAACTACCAGCTTTCCTCCCCGCCTGGCTGTGGTCTTGACATTTCCTTCCTTCTTTCATCGACAGTAATCTCTCTCTCTCTCTCTCTCTCTCTCTCGTCTATGGTCGCTCGCCCTCCGACCTTCATCCGTGTGGGGCCGTTTATACACTTACGCCCCTCAACTTGACTCACAGCGTGAACATGGGGAGGCTCCGTGCAACCTCCCTCCCTCCCTCCCTCCCTACCTTATAGACCCACTATCTCTCCTCCTTTACCTCCTCCTCTTCCCTGGCCCTACACCCTCCTCCTCTCTTCTTTAATCCAATCTCTTTTATTTTATTTCGTTTCAAAATTTTCCAAATTATTAGTTATGTAAATTTGCGAGTTTCTTTTTTTTTTGGGGGATAATCCATTTGCGTTTGTAATAATATTAATAATAATAATAATAATAATAATAAATAACAGTGAATTAATACTGTATAATATAACAGCATGTACTAACATAAAATTAACATACATGTCATTAATAAACACCTTGTGATAGAGATGCTACCACAGGTGATGGCAGGTAAACCACTGCAGCACCTCTAACATGACATCATCATTAGGTGGTTCAGGTCATGTGTGTGTCTGTATGTGCGAGTATCTGGTACAGCTTTATCATATTTCCTATTTAGGTGTAGTTCTGTAGCACACACACACACACACACACACACACATCCATCCTCTTGGACATAGGTACACTAATGCCTTCCTTTCATTTATCTTGCTTAACACAGCCTTGTCGATGTTATAAATACAACAAGACACCAGATATAAAGTATTAAATCCCTACTCAGTTGATTTTTATTTCTGTGTCTAATTTGCATATTGGGAATGCTAATAAATTTTCTCTCATTTCGTAATACAATATATTTTTTGCAATGTTTATATACTGGTTATGTTTACGTCCGTCCTCGAGCAAGATTCTGGTAATGGATATTTTCTTCAGTATTAGTTGTTATCTGATGAGGACCATGTAGCTACTCTTTCCTGATCTTTGTCAATTTATCAAAGTAGTACAGTAGTAGTAGTAGTAGTAGAGGAGTAATAGAGTAGTAGTAGAGTAATAGTAGTAGTAATAGTAGAGGAGTAGTAGTAGTGGAGGAATAGTAGTAGTAATGGAGGAGTAGTATTAGTAGAGGAGTAGTAGCAATAATTGTAGAGTAGTAGTAGTAGTAGTCGTAGTAGTATAGTAGTAGTAGTTGTAGTATAGTAGTAGCAGTATTTACATTATTAACTTCTACAATTTACATCATAAAAAACCCCATTCTATCCCAAACATTATAACGAAAAAATTATATATTGTACGTCTCACAGTTCACCAAAATGTAGAAATACAGTATATATACACATTTTGGTCATCGCGTGGGTAGTGTACAAACAGGTACAAATTGACCTGGCCAGCTGGTCTTGTTAGTACAGGTGTGGAAGGTGTACACTTGTGGCGTCGTACACATTATTAGTACAGTAATACGTCTGAGAGAGAGAGAGAGAGAGAGAGAGAGACTAAAACACACTTTGACAACTTTTTTTTAACGAGAAAAATAATGCATTTCCTATACAAGTAAAGCCACACTTGGTATTTATGTCTTTTAAAGTATCAAACACCAACCAAAGTGACACATTTCACTTTTATCACAAACCTTTCTAAATTACTACACACTTAACAAAACTTAGAAAGCCACAAGTGTAGATCACGTGTACAACTTATAATGCGAATATATTTAGTTATTTCCAGGTCAAGAAACTTATACTAAATATGTTTTTTTTTGTTTCATTACATCATGGGAAAAAAAATATTTCTTTTAATGAGTGAGTGAGTGAGTGAGTGAGTGAGGTATTCTTGGGGCGTAAGAGTAAAAAAAAAGTAAGTAAATTTAGGTTTTTTTTTTGTTCAAGTTGTAATGTTATTGTTGTTGTGTTTGTATATGTGTCGTTGTTGTTATACTGTTTGTAGATGTTTTTGTTGTTCTTGTTGTTGTTATAAATATTTTTTGTGGGTATTTTAGTTGTCGATGTTGTAAGTGCCACTGTTTTTGTTGACGTCGTTGTTGTTGTTGTTGTTTTCTTAAGAGTAATGTTTTTTGTTGTAGATGTATTTGTAGTTGTCGATTCCTGTTGTTCTTGTTATTTTGTGCAGATGAGTTGTTGTTGTTTTTGTTGCTGTTAAAAATTAAGATATTATTGATGGTGTAGATGTTGAAGATGATGTTATTATCGTATATGTTTTGTAGTTGTTGTTGTAGATGTTTTGAGGTTGTTATTGATATTGTAGATGTTTTTTTGTTGTTGTTGTTGTTGTTGATTTTGTAGATTTTTGTAGTTGTTGTTGACGTTATTGTGGATGTAGATGTTTTGTAGTTGTTGTAGATGTTTTGTAGTTGTTGTAGATGCTTTGTAGTTGTTGTAGATGTATGTTTGTGTCACCAGGGAAAACAAACACGTTCTCCGTTACCTGTCTTTATTTACCTGGAGATAATAAGACACCTGATAAGTTTGTGTTATTCTTATTATTATTGTTGTTCTTACTGTTATTGTTATTATTATTATTATTATTATTATTATTATTATTATTATTATTATTATTATTATCAAATGGTTGAGATGTTTTTACACATATACGTGTGTGTGTGTGTGTGTGTGTATGTGTGTCCAAAATAACTAAACCGAGCGAGTAAGAGAACTGCAGTGACCTGGAAAGTATGTTGGTCAGGGAAGAACTGATTTCACTTGGGTGCGATAGGTCAGAGGTCAAGGTCACAAGGCCAATTAAAGCCTGAATGTGGCAGGTGGTCTTGTACTGATCACCACCACCTCACATACGGTCATTATTGTTGTTATTATTGTTGATCTATTTATGATAGATAGTACCGCTGTTACTTTACCGTTCTTCTTGTATTTTTATTTGTTGTTAATCCGCTTTATTTTGTATTTTCTTTCTATTATCATTAGTCTACTTGTATTTATTATTATTTTTAGTTTACAATGCAGTTTACCCCAGTCAACAAACCCACTCGAGTACACAGACAAAAGTGAAGTATTTGTGTTCATTGTCTTACAAGAAACGACCCAGAAACACAAAGAAAAAAAAAACCCAAGTTCAGTCTTTATCACAGCTTAATCAAACCTAAGTTATATAAAGAAAATAACTTGATAATTCAACGCGAGAGAGGATGTATATATTTTTTCCTACAACTCACAATAACCGAGTCTTGGTATTAATGATAAGAACTTGACCTTGTAGTTGTGATTTTTGCTGTGTTACGAGGAGGCCAAACCGATTGTGTAATATTTATCGTTATAAAAATATCTTCATTAAAAGGATCATTCTTGACCTTGGTCTTTGTTTCATCATAGCTAAAAACAACAGACAGACTGCAACACTCAAGACTGGCTAACAAGTCACACTGATCATGTAATCTAGATTTTTCATTATTTAAAAGTATTGACTATGATCTTGCTGTCAATGTACTGTTGTTAGAGAGCCAGGTGTACGTGGCTTATGTACCAGGTAATTGATACCGACAGGAGAGGCAAGGTACCGAGACCAAACTCGCTGAGGTTGGGTGGTATTCACGTCCAGGCTACGGCTCGCTACACCTGCGCACTACGACTAAATCGACCTCATGCATACGTAAGTTGTTTATTTTGAATACAAGCTTTGACAGACCTGCACAGGCCGTGACATACCTGCACAGGCTGACACATACCTGCACAGGCCGTGACATACCTGCACAGGCCGTGACATACCTGCACAGGCTGACACATACCTGCACAGGCCGTGACATACCTGCACAGGCCGTGACATACCTGCACAGGCTGTGACATACCTGCACAGGCTGTGACATACCTGCACAGGCTGTGACATACCTGCACAGGCTGTGACATACCTGCACAGGCTGTGACATACCTGCACAGGCTGACACATACCTGCACAGGCCGTGACATACCTGCACAGGCCGTGACATACCTGCACAGGCCGTGACATACCTGCACAGGC